TGAAATAATTTACGATTAAAATTCATTTTTTCCATTTTTTTAATTTTGTTCTATTAAATAATTGGAACAATATTTTGGTTTACTTTATGTAAATAGAGTAAAATAACAAACTTTAACTTTTTCTTTTCTTTTAAATAACATAAATACATTGTTACTTTTTTTTTGTCGTTTTTGTTTGAAATTTTTGCATATCTTCTTGCTGAGGATATATCTTGTTTTTTGAAATAACGACAGAAAATATTATTGACTCCATCATTTATAGCAGCAACTTTGAACTTTAAATTTAATCAATCTTATCAAATCATATCATAATGTGATTATGAAATCACATAGAAAGAAAATATTGATTAAAGATAGTATAGCTGTTCATAAAATTAAAAGCTTATAGAACAGATGACAAACTCTACATTTGGATTGAATGTTACCTAGGAGATTGACAGTAGAGTATCATTGTTGGTGGTACATACTCAGAATGGATAATAGTAAATAGTGGGGTCCCCCATTATTTACTTTTATGATATACATATATATATTAATGATTTTTCTAATTTGGTTTTAGATGTTGTTTCTGTATTTATACTAAGTCATGCAATTTGCTTTTTGACAGCTCACCATGCAATAACTTGCAAAAAGATATGGACATTATAGCAAACTGGGCAAAACTATGTAAACTTTTAATGTAAAAAAATGTAAAGTTATGCCTTTAGGACCATCAAACACAAAATTAATTTATCTACTCGTCGATACAAATCTCAATACTTCAATTAATCTTAGAAACTCTCTTGTCAATTAAGAGATATATATAGCTAGTCTATATATATATAGATAGTCTATATAGCTAGTCTATATATATATAGATAGTCTATACTATATATATAGTCAATGTCTAGTAAATCTGTTTTTGGCCTGACTGGACTCATTTACAACCAAAGACTACTGAGACTAAATTTAACTAGCATGAGCTATTGTTTCTTACGTAATGACATGGCAGAAACTTACAAATGCATTCACAATCTTTATAAATGTAGTTACAACCCTTTTGTTTTCTCATTAAATACCATTCAGTATTTTATATCCATTAACTCCTGTGTTAAAGTGATGTCATCTACATCTGTCGCAACGTTTAAAAAACATCTAGATGCATATTGGGTACATCAAATGTTTTTTTTTAGATCTTAAATAGTAAAGTTATACAATTCACTGTATGTTTACTGCAGTATGGCAGTAAACAAACTCTCTTTTTTTACTATAGAGTATAATTTTATTTATTGTAGAAATAAAATTGATATGAAGTTAAATTTCAAATTAAACACCAATTAATTTTTATGTTTATTTTTTTAGTATTGTATATTAAAAACACTTTATTTTAGTGTTCCATAGCTGAAAAAAATATTCATTATATGCCTGGCTAACTCATTCAATTGAGCATGAGAACTTAATCTCATGCTCATTTGAATCTCGTAATCTCAGGGTAAAGATTTACTTAGAGCCTCAAGTTAGTTGTCTTCAGGTTGCATTTACTACTGCTCTTTAGACATAGTAAAAGCAACCTGTAATGGAGAATGAAAACACTGATAAAAATAAAATTGTAACAAATATTCTCAACTCTTACTTAATGTCATATTTAAATAAGAAAATGTTATTATGAAAACCTTCCAAACCACGTAAACTTTAAAATTCACTTTCTTTTGCTAACCAATAATCAAACTTTACTTGAAATAAAAAGCGATTACATTTTACATCAAGAAATGAAACTCAATAAATTTTAGACTATTTTTAGTTTAAAAAAATAATAATCTAAAAAAAAAAAAAGTTTTTTTTATATCATAAAGTTATTTGTTATGATTTTTTTAACTGTTGTACCATTAAAATAAAAATGGCAATAATGTTTAGAAAATTTGCTCTGCTGAATTTTTTCGGCAATAATGTTTAGAAAACTTGCTCAGCTGAATTTTTTAATGAAAACAACAATATGTGTGCAATGAATGTAATCTGTTTTTCAGATTGTTTGGCGAATCAATCAAAGTTTGGGTGTATTGGCCAAATCACTTGCAAGCATCTTGCCTTTAGGCTGCAATACGTGAAGTTACGCTTCTAAAAGTAACTGAAAGCAGCTGAAAAAAAGATTTTTTATTTTATTTTTGTAATTGTTTTATTTACAATGTTTTTTTTGTTTTATTTACTTTATATTTATTTGTTTTATTTGTATTATTGTTTTTGTTTTTGATCTAAACAGCTATATTTGACTCAAATATAGTAAATGTTCATTGTTTAGTATGGTTTCATATATTTTTTTTTTATATATATTTTTTGACAGTTATAAGACTGCTTTAAGAATGGATAGAAATGTTTGAGTTTACATCAAGCGTTGAAACAGCTGTTGATAGTGATGAAGAAGAATTATCTATGCCTCCAGCTTAAAAGTTTGCAGGCTACAAAAAAAAAGTGACACTGATGAGATTGTCTGTCAGTTTCTTAAAGATTAAATAAATCTTTAATGTTTTAGGGTTAAGTGTTTGCATCAAAGCTTTGCTTGCCGTTTCTTTCGATTTATTGAATTTATTTGCTGGCTAAAAAGGATAAAAGATCTAAATCTCGTAGAAAAATTATGGAATAAAGACACCTTATGAATCGATATGTATCGTATGAATCATTGAATTGATATTAGTTAATAGTTTTTGGAAACAGTTCCATGTACTATTAAAGTTTCTAATTTTTAAATCATATGGTGCATTCATATGAAACATACAAATAAATGATACAATATGATACATGATTGATTATAATTATGTTGTATATAAGGATGTTTTATATAAATGCTTATTACATTTTATTGTGATTTTTATTTTTTATGCCCAGTTAGCAATGTATTTTGTGTAGTAATGACTACTTATCGCGGATATTTATGACATCTGTAGGGTGTATTCACCACAGCTTTTTGCTATGGCAAATACAACCTATCTTGGAGAATTTTATACTACTGTATAATTGTGGTCAAGGGTAGGAGAAGCTTAAAAACCTGTATGAATTCCATTTTCATTCCATTTTCTTTTAATAAACAAATATTTTAGTAAAAAAGCTAATTATTTTACAATATTTATACGTGAAAAAATATATATTTAAAAACTATTTTGTGATGCTATTAAAAAAACATTTTGTAGATTTGTGTTTAGTAGTTCGTCAATTTTTTAATCATTTATCGTTTTATTTGTTCAATTCAAAATGACTACTGACAAAAGTATTAAAGAAAAAATTAGCAGCTTTCTGGCGACGACCATTGATAGAGATTAAGGAAGAAAAAATAGAATCATAACTGGACAACGGCCAATATTCAGTAATGAAATAAGTATCGGCAAAATAATGAAAGTCAATGCCCACTATCTGATAGTGAGAGTATAATACAGTAGTATTATACTCTCACTATATATATATATATATATATATATATATATATATATATATATATATATATATATATATATATATATATATATATATATATATATATATATATATATATATATATATATATATATATATATATATATATATATATATATATATATATATATATATATATATATATATATATATGTATAATATATATATATATATATATATATATATATATATATATATATATATATATATATATATATATATATATATATATATATATATATATACACACCTATATATTAACTTTTTACTTAAACTTTATTCAACTTACATTTGAAAGTAAATTTATTTTAAGATAGGGTCTTAGGTCAAACGCCTATTCTGACATAGTCTTTCAGGTCTGCAAAGTTAAAAAGCTAACTTTTAACTTGCAAGACTACCTGCCCAAACTCAAACCTGATTTAATGCATGTACACATACTGCACATATCCCTATATAAGTCAGTCGATGTATGCACATTCTCTAGCGTCTATTCCTATATATTCTAGTATGTCTAACCCCTATAAATCCGAGTTAGTGGACGGAATTGGAGTTAGACAATTGAGCCTTCCTCGTTAAAATATTGTTATTACATGTAAATACACATTAACGTTAAGAAGTAAATACGTAATTTGATTTTTCTTAAAACTTATTTGAGTGGAAAAAATCGGAAACATTTAATGAAAACATTTTCTAGCGTAAGTTAAAACTTGTTCTATCTCCATTTATTGAAAAAACAAACTTACTGATAGTGTTATGTACTTTAGAATAATGTTTTTCTACAGTATTGAAACCGAAGTGAAAAGTAAAAAGGTTGCGGAGAAAACATAAGTTATAAAAATATTTTTATATGCCGTCTTCTAAAGTTTTTTTAAATCATTTTATTTTAAAATTAAACAATATGAACAAGATAATTCTTACGTCGCGTATAGTTGAGCAACAACTTACTCTAAAAAATGTTTGTGTACAACTGTTGTGAAAATGTTTTGTACTCAAAATGTTTTGTACTGTGAACAACATATCTAATTTTGAAACAATTGTTGTACAATATTTATAAAATATATGTATATTTATAAGAAATACATATTTTAAAAAATATGTATGATACAAAAAAGGAATCAAAGACTTTGGTTTAAAACTTGAACAAAAACACTTGTAACCAAGTAACCGCGTTACCTAGTTTTACTTTTAAACTTAAGTTTTTTATTTCAATACTTTTGATAAAATTAACAAAACTATGACAGTATATTATAAAATATTAAATTAAAGTTGCAACTGAGCAATATACAAAACAACAATTGAGCAATGTACAAAACAAATTCATAGTTCCATTCTTTTCAGTAAAATTACGAGAACAAAATAGGAATAAATTATCAAAATAATAAAACTTATATAAAAAAAAGTTAGCAAGTAAAAAGAGAGGCGAGAATTTATGATATTACAGAACAGCTGTTCAAAAGCAAACAAACTGATTTGATTAAGACTTCTTTGTGTGATTTTTACTATAAATATTATCACAATCTTTGACCTAACTTTTAAAAAAAAAAAAGATTAAAAGATTTTCGGGCAATTTCTTTAAATGTTGAAAATAGTGTTAAAAACATTGAAAACAACATTTTGTTTTTACAACATTTTGTTAATATTTTTACATTTAAATCAAGCGTTTGCTCAAAAATGCCAAAATGGAAGGCTAGATGGAGAAGGTCTCTTTAAAATTTATGCAATGTTATCTATTGAAGCTTGCAATCCTAACGGTGCTAGAGCAAGAGGAGTTGCTCAAGCTGAAGCTTTAAAGTATGTAATTAATGAAGCAAATCGTCAATTTAACAAAAGTCTCATTGGTTATACTATTTACGACATTGATGACTACAGCAAATTAGATTATACAGTGAATGCTACGTTAGACATTATACTTTCACCAACCAAAAGATTTTTATCCCCAAATATTGCCTACAATAATATTTTTTTTAAGTCAAATAAGTTTGAACCAACAGCTTTAGGATTACTTGGATTGGTATCATCTGAAAACGCCATATATGCTCATCAAGCATTCTCATTTACAGACATTCCGATCATTAGTTATTCTGCAACAAGTGATGACTTGAGTGATAAAAAAATGTTTCCAAACTTTTATCGCACGGTACCTCCCGACAGTTTTCAAGCTTTGCTGTTTTCCGATCTTTTGTTGCATTTCAATTGGACATATGTATCTGTTGTTGCTTCGGATGACTCCTATGGGAGATCTGGTACATTTCAACTAGTGCAAAAGTTAAGTAAAGTTAAAATCTGCGTAAAATCACAAGATGTAATTATTAATGAAAGTAAACAAGATTCTTTAATACTTTCAAATATTGAATCAGATCCTCGAGTTAGAGTAATTATTTATTGGGGAGATTTAAAATCGCTTAAATATCTTTTGACCGAGTCGAAAAAGCGCAAAATTTTTGGAAAAGTATGGATATTGAGCGAAGGTGTTGGCTTAGATAACTGGATAATTGAGTTTATGAAAACTTTTGAAGGAAGTATCATGATACTTAATCCGTATACTTATACAGAGCAGAACTTTAAACAAAAATTTTTAAGTATTACATATAATGATGCTACTCCGTGGCTAAAAATGTTGTTTCAACAAAATGGAATAAATGAACTTAAAAGCAAGTTTACTGTCAGTAATATTCAAAACTTATTTGACTACAGACGTGTTGGTTATCTTCAGACTTCAGCAAACGTTTTGATAAACGCTTTTGTTAATTACACTAAAACCCAATGCAACATTGTATCGAACAACATTTTATCGTGCAATGATTTAATTTATAACCGAAACGATTTTAATAATATCGTAAAAAGCATAAGTTTCTCTTATAAAAACAATGATATATTTCAGTTTGATGAAAATCAAAATCCAGTGACGGCGAGTTATGATCTTTTTGTTGTAACAAACTCTAAGTTTGAACTTACAGCTTCATGGACATCAAACAAAGGATTTAAAATAATAAATAGTTCCGTTTTTGATTCTTTTCAGGTTACCTCAGCTTGTTCTCAAGCATGTCCTCCAGGCCATCAAGGAGTATTTCATAAAGAAATAATGTGTTGCTGGGCGTGCGGTTTTTGTCCTAAAAACCAAGTCAAAAGTACGTATGGTCAAAGTTCATGTGTTAAATGCATGGAAGAAAAATTATACATTAGTAACCCAAACAGAACAAAGTGCGTCAAATTAAATCAGATTTACTGGAGCTTTTATAGCAACAACAATTATTTATTTGTAACATTTTCATTTTTCATATCAGGTGCAACAATAACATTTGTTTTTATGTTGACATTCATTCTAAAAAGAAATACACCAATAGTTAAAGCATCAAACTATTGGCTATCTATCACGCAGATGACATTGCATTTTTTATTGTTTAACATAACATTTTTAGCAATTGGAAAAGGTTCAAATATAAAGTGTTTTTTTACTATGCATGTAAGTGGACTTTTATACTTTTTAATTATTAATGTGACGTGGCTCAAAGTAAAACGTCTGGTAGCCGTGTTTGGTACTTTACATAAGTTGAGAAAAAAGGATATGCAGCGAATAAGGTTTAAAGAATTTATAACATTTTTAGTAGCGAACTTGTTATACGTTTCAGTAATGTTGACTATTGAGGCAATTAAGCCAATAAACATAAGTTTGATAACCGATGAAAATGCGCTTACTATAAATGAGTTTTGTAAATCAGAAACTAACATGTTGGTTCATGTTTGTTGTATTCTTACATTAATGGTTTTTTGTGCCATTGAGTTGTTCAAAGGTAGAAATCTTCCATTAAAATACGACGACACAAGATTTATAGCAGTTGGAACGTTTTCTTCCGTATTAATAAAAATACTGGCTGTACCGTTGGGATATAGTTTAAATGACGCAAACAATTACAAAACAATGCTTTACACAGTTATTAACATTTCAAACTTCCTTCTGTTAATTACCTCTTATATGTTTAAAATAAAAATTATTTTGTTTGAACCAAATTCAAACGTTCGGACAGGCTTTAACAGAAATCGTAATAAAATACACCCTGAACGTTCTGTCAAGCTTCGTTAATTATTTTTTAAATTGAAAATAAAAACTTCTAGTAGATAATTCTTCTTCTTGTTTTTGGTTTAAAAAAATGTAACAAATATTATTATAAGCACTTATTTTAAAAGCATTTTCTTTACAAAAATTAAGAAAAAAACAAAAAAGTCTCCCGAAATTTTTTTTTTTTAAGCCAGAGGAGTGTATGAAATCCTAATGTTTTTAAGCAATTTTTTAAATCTTAATTTATAAAATAAATAAAATATCAAAAAACAAGCTTTATATAAAAATTGTTCAAAATACACTGCATTAAGAAAACCTCGTTAAATTGAAATAGGTGAAGCCTTTATCAGTTATGGTTCCAGAATTGATACTCGAGTTTGTTTGCCTAATTTATTAGGCGCATAAAATACTTTTTTTACCTAATATATTAGATCTATACCTAAATATGAGCAGCCGTGGCGCAGTGGTAGCGCACTTGGCTTAAAAATAAAGGATCTACAGTTCAAACCCCACCTCTGGGCAAGTTTTGCTATAGCTGTTAGGAAGAAAGCGTGAACTTCCTATTAAATTCTCATCCACGGTTCTCTGTGATAAGACCGTGAAGATTTCTTGGGGCACCTAAATAAAAATATAAATCATTGTAATGAACACATATAGATACGCAGTTATATAAAGGGTAGGTTCGGGCAATATGAGTACACTAAAAGATTTTTGGATGCGAGCAGTGAAAAAAATAAAAAAATAAATTTTTTTTTCTTTGCGTAAAACAAAGTAGTATTGTTTGAATTAAAAGAAGCCTAAAATGTAACATTTTAATGATAATTTTTGTTAAGGGGTTGTCCATAAAGTACGATAGCCAAAAATTTTGAAATTTGAACCCTTCCCCCTCCATCCTCCTAAAAATTACCCCCTTAAAAAGTACGTACGTTTTTGAAATACTCTCCCCAAACTTTTTTTTTTCAATAAAAAAAATTAATGAAAAAAAAAAAAGGTGGAGATGGTACCTTGGATACTTTATACGACAAGAACAAGAGGGATAAGAAAACTTGAGTGTCTTACATATTGAATGAATGAGCTTTTGTTTACAAAAGTAAATGCTCTAGATTCTTTATATTGGAGAAACAGTATAAATAAGGAAGACTAAAGCCTGATGATGATGATGATGATAACGATTATGATGATGATGATGATGATGATGATCATATGGATGTGCGGTAATGCAACTAAAATGTTCTGTATCGCAACGCGCTTGTTCGGTAAAGCATCTCTTGTTCGTTATTGCAACTTTTTTGTTCGCTATTGCAACTCCGTGTTCGGTTTTGTAACTTGAATAATTTTGTTTTTTTATTAAGTTGTTACGTCGTCAGCCGGCTCAAAATAATTTTCGTTCAAAGTTAATTGAGCAGACAAAAATTTGTTTGGTGAGTAAAGTAAATTATTGATATTAAAACAAAATTGTATTTTTGAGAAGTAAATTTATGGAAATCTAATATATATCAGTAGCCTATATAATTACACACGTGTTTAAAGTTTTAAAAATCTTTTATTTAATCTTTATTTACAAAATTTACACGAAAAAAGCAATTAACTAAAATGTGTGTAGATATTTTTGAGTACAATCAATTTTGAAGTTTATCCAACTTTACAAATCAATTTGTGATATACCTAAAAGGTATAAGCTGGCTTGAATCAAAGTGATTTATATCGATTTCTACTCAACAGTTGAGTAAAAGTTTATTTAAACCACTCTGATACTATATAGCTAGAATCTAAGTTGTGTAAGTAAACTTCTACTTAAAATTTCACCTAAAACATTACAAATTTAACCAGCTTATAAAAATGTTATTAATAATATACTATATGCTTATGATAATATTATTAATAATAATTTATATGCTTATAATAGTGTTACTAATAATATACAATGTGCTTATAATAATATTGTAAATAATAGAGTAGTTTAAGTCACTTTTAAGTTGGCATAAAAGTTATAATTTTTATTTCTTAAGTATACGGTTGTTTAGTATTTGTTTGCAATAATAAAAGATTTTATTCATAAAGATTATTTTCAGATTAGATTTTGTCCTTTTTACTCAAGACAAAATTTAATCTAGAGATGGCTATTTTAAAGAACTCTATTGACAAAGTTTAGATGTGGAACTTGTTATTTGCAAGTAATTTAGTTATTTTCTTTTTTTATTTACAAATATAGTGTTAAAATTATAGATGGGATATTTTTAAACATTAATAATATAATTTCAAAGATTTTAATTTATATTTACAACAGCTATGTTGTCTTCTTCTTAAATATAAAGATTTAGTTTAAAAAAATTAAATTTTTCTCTTGTATTATTATGTGTATTTTTTATGTGTATTCTCTTGTATTATTATGTGTATTTAAGTAATATATCTGGCGAAAACTTTTAATCAGACTCAAACATTATTATCTTTTGTTTCTTTAAAAGGTAATAATGCTTATTTTACAATTAAAAGACATTAAATAGTTTTACCATATTTACAATAGTTTAGTTTAAATGTTACTATTTTATTTGGCAAGTTTAATCAAAACTATCTATTAAAGTTAGTTTTTATTATTAAATTTTCTCAAATATCTTCCTGACCGCTGAATTAATTTCAAACAAATGTGCAGCTCAGTTAGGTTTCGAATGTTAAAGCAACTTTATTTTTTTCTTTATAGTATAATTTCAAGAGTTGCTTTTTAAACCTGATGAAGAAGATAAATGTCGTTATTCTTGTAATATATTTTTCATATCTTTTTCAAAGTTGTTTTCACAAGTGTTTAAACATTCAATTAGGGATTGTCTATATATTTTGCAATGCAAAGTTGATTTTAAAAAAAGAAGTAGATAATATTTAATTCTTTTACATGACAAAACTTTTAGAAAAAAACTTTTGATCTCTTATGTTTTGTTTATTAGTGAAATTTAGCGTTGTATAATTTATGGACAAACCCTATTCAATTCCACATTTAAATCAAAGAAATTCACTAATACTTTAATTTTTGCTTTTTCTATTTTTTTATTTTAGAAATTCATGGAAAACCCGATTATTTTACCTAGCTTTTAAATTATTAATTAGTTTTTAGACTTGTCCTAAAAGTTAGTTAAAATTACGATACTTACAGCAACTATAATTTTATTGTAGTGAAAATTTTGTTATCGCGCAATCAAACAAAATGTACTATGCAAAATTAAAAAAAAAGACTTGAAATAAAGAGATAATTGAGTTTTTTATCCTGGGGAAAATAAAAAACTAAATTGTGCTCTTTAAAGTACTTTCAAATGTTCTGTGATTGTTATAGAGTTCAAATTTTTAAAGTTACTTATAAATTTATTTGTTTTTAGGGGAAAAAGATAGATGTTTTTAAACTTCTGGATCATACTTTTAAAATACCTCACTCTATTGATGTCAACATCTGAAGCCTTACAACAGCATACCTTTCAATAATATCTAACTCAATATTACATCATTTGTAAAAATGTGCATTTGAATACAATTAAAATGTGTCATTTCTCAGAAAAATTTAAAAGTGCTTATTTAAATTTTTCTAAATATGGCATGTAATTTTTTAATGCTTTGATTCAGACATTAAAGATTTGTTATCAAAACAACATTTAAAGTTTAAAAATCAAATATCTTCAACAATTACAACACAAACTAATTTGCGTAGTTTCAAAAACTGTATCAATTTGATTCTGTATATTTGTACAAAGATATCATGAGGTTTTATAGTTAATTTTGCACTTATTACATTTATATTTTTATGTATATAATATTCATAATTTGTATTTAAACAATATTCATAATTTTTACATATAAATTCATAATTTTTACATATAAATTCATAATTTATATATATAAATTTTTCATATTTTATATCTATATATCATGGATGCGGAATCCCTAAAAAGGACTCTGGAGTTAAACGCCACAAAAAGATTACTTCTTTCTAGCTTTTAGTATCCATTAGCTTTAAAGATGTAAAAAGGCCTAAGGGCTACTAATGGGGAAAAAAATCAAGACTTAGACATCAGTAGAACAATAATTTTTTAACCCTAAGTCCAAGGTATAAAGGGGGCATAGACTCCAGGACTTCACGCTTAAAAGCAAGATTTCTTTTGAAGAATTTTTTGTTTCATAGGAGCCCTTTTAGGACTCTGCATCCCTGGTGTATATATATATATATATATATATATATATATATATATATATATATATATATATATATATATATATATATATATATATATATATATATATATATATATATATATATATATTTATACAAGTTTATGCATTTTACTAAACTTATGTATGTATTATATTAAATATATCTTCACATTTAGTGTCTTGTTCCAGCAATAAAGTCGTATATGAAAGATTTAAAAAGCTTCATCAACTTACAACAACATACTCTAGATTCCAATATTAGACTAAATTTAGACTTAAAAGGTTGTGACAAAACCCTGAAGATTTAATTAGAAAAAAATGTGTTTTGAGTTTATATTGTAAATATGTTACTATTTAAAAAGTTTATCAAATTGCATTTGTATGCATTTACTTGTATATTCTATTTTAAAAAAGTTTATTATATATTAATTAGATTACTGATTTAAAACAAAGTTAGTTGATTTTTTTAATTGAATTTTTTTTACAATATAAAAAATTCAATCAAGTGTAACGAACTATTAAAACTTATCAAAATATTAAATTGAAATTTCTCATGCAATCTACAATTGTAGGATTGTCAGCTTTAAGTTGAATGTTAGTTGCAATTAAAATTATGTTTTTTTAAACGATATATATATATATATATATATATATATATATATATATATATATATATATATATATATATATATATATATATATATATATATATATATATACATAGAGTAGAGCGGAATTAATTAGCAATCATTATCACTTAATTAATTTATCTTTAGTTCTAGAGTTTTTCTTTCTTTCATCATCAGAAGTCCTTAACGATGCTAAAGACTTCTGATGATAAGACGGTTAGGACTTCTGAGAACATCCTAATAAAACAAAATTTTTTAAGAAATTGGCTTTTGACATAGAAAATGATTTACATTTAAAAAAATTGCTCTATTATTAGGTCCAGGAATTTTAAAGACTAAATTAAATTTAATTGAAAGCATACAAAAGATTCTCGTAATATGCTTCGTATCATTTGGAATGGTACGGTTAAAAATCTGTCAGTTATACAACAAATACTTTAAAAAAAACAAGTGTATGACGAAATGGGTCTAAAATTTAAAATTGAGTGGAAACAAATCTGTATATATAGCTTGTGTTTTGAAATACAAGTTTTTGTTTTTTTAAATATTGTTCAAGTATTTGAACACTCGTAAGTTTTTTTATTTTTCACGCTTAAAAGATAAAATTGTTTTAGGGTAAATGCCAATGTGTGGTATTTTATGGGTGCAATTTTGTAGTTTTTTTTTTACGCAAATTTATTTTGCTCTATTATCGTGCTTCGATGACTAATGGCCAATTTTTTTAATTGCAAACTCAAAACTTATGGAAGCAATGAATCATGATAAAACAAGCATACTGACAAAATATTACTGCTTCATTGGTCTAAGATTTGCAATAACCCATGATTTTTAAAACGTTCGATATCTTGCTTTGTCTTCCCCTCTCTATAAAAACTATGGATATTCTTTTAATTTTTTGGACTTCGTGAGATGGCCGTTGAAAGTGCATAAATATTTTGTAACCTATTCAAATTTCCAGATAGCCCCGTTTTAATGTTTAATATATAAAGAAAAGCGCATCAAATTTTATAAAAACAAAAAACGTTCGTCTCAAAATGATAAGATCATTAAATAAATAATCTCATTTCTAGTACAACTTAACCCTATTTAAACTGGGTCTTGTAGGTTAAAATTACATGGCGTGCCCAAAAAAAGATTCCATTCTAATAAAGCCATTATTAAATTTATTTTTGGATAAAAATACACTTAGTTCTAATACTTTCTCTGACACAATTACACTTTTAAGGCACTTTTTCCAAATAATACTACTCAATTCTAAATAACATTATTCAATTGTTAAAACTGTAAATAAACAGCTTTTATTTACATGGTAATTTATTTATTTACATGGTAAAAATTGTTGTTTTGAAGTATGGATTTAAAATAAATTTTAAATTTTTTCTCAAGCTTAAGGTGGTCCTCCACAGAAAAGGCAAACTTTTGATAGAAAAATTTTTTTGATTTATATTTTTCACCAAAAATCTTGTTCTATAATCTATTTTAATAAATCAACTTTAAAAAATGTCTCGATTAGCCAGTTATTTAAAATAAGAGTGAAAAAACTAGCAATTTTTGTGATCAAAATATTTATCATATCAAGCTGAAAATTGGTTTATATACTAATGAGGTATATTAATCCAGATAAGTGAAGCATTTTTTATTATTTATATTATATAAAAGGTTACAACACTTGAAACAAACATAAAAAAATTGCTGAACATTCTTCCAGCATTTTTTTCTCATAAAAAAGTGCTTCCCTTATTTTGTTTTTAATATCTTTCAATCATCCGCATCCTTTTTAATTATGTAAAAAATCGCAAAAAAAAAATTAGATCAAAGCTTAAACGAGTTTAAAGTTAATCATATTTTAAAGATTTGTATTCGAGGCAAAACTTAGTTTTGAGGAAACGACAAATATATAAAACAAAAGAATAAAACCATAATAAAAAGTTCATATAAACATATTAAAACCCTCCAGGAATATATTTTGAGTTTTTTCTTTATCAATTTTTTTTATTACCTTTGTCTAACTAAGTCTTTCTTTATCATCTTTGTCTAACTAAACCTTTTTAATTGTTTTTAGCTATTTTTCTCTCTTTTTAACACGTTCAGTGGACTATTGAAAAGACCGTTTGATAGCTTCTTTATTTTTATCATTAAGTTTTAAAGACGTTACATATTCTGTTAGTTAAAGTTTATTAAGTACAAATAATATTCCATTAGGACCTTTATAAAATTCAATCTCAGACGAATTAACTGCAGACTCAAAAACCCCTCTACTCACAAAAATACGTTTTAGGCAGTGTCTCCAAATAATCTGGTTCAGTGTCTCGTTGGTGTTTTAGTTAATCATCTGAAGATAAATCAGTAAAAGTTGATTTCAAAATGTTGAAGACTGTAGCGTATGTATCAAAAATGTTTACTTGCTCTTCATAAGTATTTTCACCATGAACTTTCTCTAAATGATATTTGCACTAAGTCTCAGTTTCTCTTGGGCAAATACGGTGTTGACATTCCTTGTCGTCAAAATCTGTACAACAAAACTAAACCGCCTAAACAACTTTTTTTATAGCCTACAAATTGTTAAGATTGTTTCTTTTTGCTAGGCTAAAAAGTTCTGTGTAGAATTGATCAAAGATTAAGTTAACTTTCTTTTTTGATGTAATGGTGTGTTCATTCCTTTATAAGTTTGTATCTTACGAAATCTTGTGTTCATTCTCTTCTGTTTAATTTATATAAATTTTGCAATAAAAAAATGTTACAGGATTTTTAAAAACTTAGTTATAATCAATAAAATTGCTGCAAAATAAAGTTTTCTAAAATTTGTGTTAGAGAGTGTCGTCGACAAGACCACATTAAAATGGTAATTTTTCTTTGCATTTAAAGCATCTATGCAAAAAACTATGATTCTCAAACTTATGATAATAATCATGATTTTATTTTTATTGGTATATACAATTTTTTTATAAAAAATAATAAAACAGTGATCAAAACCCACTAATTTACTAAATAGGACAATATCATTCTCTCTGGTTAAGGCTATGAACTTAATTAATGAAACGCTTTTGAACTTTTATATATGAACAAACTATGAAAAACTGTGTTTTTATAAAAATCTGTGAAAATAATACCCAATTATAATTTTATTAACCCAGCAACTATTTTATTGTGGATTTGCAATGGACCTATATAAGCATTTTGAGCAGTTAATTAGAGTTTTGCTCATAGGTTTCTTAAGGAATTCGCTAAAAGTGGCTAGCCAATAACTCTTCAACATGTAATATAAAAGCTAGTTGTTGGCTAGCCATGATGACGACTGCCAATTGTGGTCCACCATGTAACCAATGAGCCTTTTCACAGTGGAAAAAAAGTGGGAAACTCTCAAAATGCCTATAAAAGTCTACTAAAATTCCGCTGTAAAATTTTTGCTGGGAAGATTGTTTAAAACAACGATTTGCTGTATGTATTTTTTTCATAAAGTCAAAATTAGTTTAAAAATACTTAAAAAATTTATTACTTTGATTTAAAGAAAGATGTCAGAAGATTGTTGTAAAGTTTTTATTTTAAAATAATTAAAAATAGTGTTATTTGTGTGTTCAAAATGAGCACATTTGTTAACTATAAACGTTGTGTTAAAAACTTTATTTATTTATTTAAAATTAATTTACATAAACGTTCAATATATAGTTTTATATTCTGTAATAAAATTTTTTTTACTGATTAATTGTGATTCCGTTTTTTTACCCTGTCCTATAACACGCCTCTGAGACTTTGAATAAATTCCGTTCGATTTTAGAATTATTATTTGCATCAATTTTATTTTTTGGATAAAAAAGAGTAAATAAGTTTTATCTTAAAATAGTAACTTAAAAATGATTGCAAAACAGACCTTTCAAATTCATTTATGGACGAAAACCAGAAAGTTCGGTAATGCAACCTGAGTAGTTTCGGTAATGCAACACCTCACAGTTAAAACCAAATTTCCAAAAAATCTTTTTCGTTTCAAAAGCAAAGTTTATACTTTTTAGACATTCGATTTAGTAAATATTATATCCAGCAGAAAAAATTTTCTTAAAAACGTATATAAAAAAATTTTGTTAAACGTTTTTTTTTTGAAAACCCAAGTACGAGATTTGTTAACTAATATATTATATAAAGTTTACTTGAACTCAGAAACTTAAAAACGCCATGATGATATAAAAAATGTCAAAATTTAGAAATGTGGATTTATTTAGTTTATAGCTTGATTTGAAGAAAATGAATAAAAAAAACATACCCGAATGTCATTTTTATAATCCCCATGCATAAACCCTCTTTTTCGATGCATTCGGTAATGCAACGCATTTTTTATAACGGCTCTTATATTTAGAGATTTTGCTCAAAATTTTTTTTCAAAAATAACATATCTAAAAAGTTTAGATCTTTCTTATAGGCAATACTGAAAAAAAATTTAAAAAATACTGAGCGGCACGGCAATAATCTAAAATCCTGTGAGCCGATGACCTTGTTGCAATAACGAACAGAGAACCATATACTGATGATGATGATGATGATGATGATGATGATGATGATGATGATGATGATGGCAATGATGATGATGAGGATGATGATGATGATGATGATGATGATGGCAATGATGATGATGAGGATGATGATGATGATGATGATGATGATGATGATGATGATGATGATGATGATGATGATGATGATGATGGCAATGATGTTATGATCATTTTGATCATAATGATGTTCATATATACTTATATATACAAATATGAATTTTGAATAAAAAAAATATACTTTAGGTTGCATAAATGCTTATGAAGCCCCGATCAAAAACCCAG